TGGGGGGATATCTGTAATACTGTCAACAATATAAAATAAATTAAAAAAGGAAATGTATGACTGTGACATTCACTTCCACATAAAATTTGAACTGATACATACCACCCATAGAAGGCTCATACAGACTAGGGTACAGAGGTCTCTATTTTTGCAAGGCAGAATAGATTCCAAAAATTATTTTAAAATTCTCACCTGAGGATATGTTTTTATTGATTTCAGAGAGAGAGAGACACACTGACATCAATGTGAGAGAGAAACATCGATCGGTTGCCTCCTGTACACACCCTGCCCGGGGACCAAACCTGAAACAGGTATATGCCTTGACCGGGAATCGAACCTGCAGCCTTTTTGGTGTACTCTGGGATGTACACCACCTGAGCCTCCCGGCCAAGGCGATTCCAAGATTTTGATAATCATGAAGAGTCTGGGGAGGGAGAGAGAAACTGAGGAGACTGTAACCAAATGAGGCCCTAGTCCCTGGGACCCCAACCTCCCTTCACTGATTCACTGGAATGCCCCCCACACCTCCATTAAATAGTTCCTTTTAAAAACTCTCCTCAGTCACCCCAAGAGGGCGCCACCTGTTTTCGGCTGGGACCCTGACTGTTCCTTTGAGTTCACCTCCCATAGGTGAGGTAGATTCAAGTGTCTTGAACTTGGGTTTGAGTCTCCCTTGACTGATGGTGCTCTTTGATTAAGCAAGGCCCCGTTTGGCTTTGATTCAGCGTGTGGACTGGAGCTCCGAGGGTTATTTCGGGGTTTAGAAGTTCACTTTACTTTGCCTGAAGCCCCTTTGGACTCTGTTAAGTCACCGTATCCATAGGCAACTACCAAGGTTACACATGAAGCTTCACTTTACTTTTGGCAGCTCAGTGCCGGTATCATTTAGACACTTGCAAGTGAAGGGGGCACATGCAGATGACAAGTAGGGGGGCTGCTGACCGGCAGCCTTGCGGGCCCCTGAGAGGATTACGGTGCTGGTTAAACAGGTTATTCGCGTGCTTGCTGCCGGCTGCGCTCACTGACACTTTCCCCTAATCTCTTCAGCAGATTGAAGTTCCCGAAGGAGGCCGGAGTAAAAAATACCACATTCAACAAAGCCAGGTCTGTGAGTAAAATTATGTAATTGGTGCATTATAATTTTGATAAATCTGCCCATTTTCCCCCTTTAAGTAACTGAAGTCATTCTACTTTTAATAATAAGCCAGAGTCCTCCTTTTCAGAAGCTCTTCCACGTAGGCTAGGCCAACTGCAGGGCCATCGGAGTATAGCATGTTGATTGTAGCACCTAGTAGGGCTAGGAGAAATACTTCTCTGAGTTTTTTACATTAAAAAATTTTAAGAACACAGAAGTCTTTAATGATTACCTCCTACACCCCATGCAGTTTTTAGAAAATACTTTCTAGTTTGCGTATTTTAGTTTCATGGATTTTCTACAGTGTACTCTGTACAAAACAACTTTTCAGTTTATAAAATACTTTTTTGAGCATGTAGGTCTGCTGTGCAGATAACAATAACAGTAAAAATCATAATAAAAAGCATTAATCGGGTCTCATGATTGCCAGGCACTGTTTTAAGGGCTTTTATATGAATTAACTCATCCTCACCACCATCTTGTAAATCAGAGAGGTTAAATGACTTGCCCCAGGTTGCACAGCAATCGATGGTGGAAGGAAGCAGGCAATCTGACTCCAGAACTGTGCCCTTCACTACCTTTGCTAACTATTCCTTTCTAGGTTCAAATCCTAGAGTAGGCGAATGAAATAAAGGTGACCTCTTAGTAGCATTTGAATGGAAGTGATTATTGGTTCAGTTCCCGTCACAGGGTCTGCTGTGTATATAAAAATACTTAGTATAGAGGGATATTATTTATAAGTATATAAGGTCCTTTCTTGAGTGAATTAGCTCAGAACAAAATTTAAAACAGATGAAATGCAAAGCTCCCTCTCTTTTATAAAACATTTCTGGCTGCGTAGATCAGAGAGACTGAGATGAGAACTCCACCACTTACTGTGTGTCTCCAGGCAAAAAAAGGAAATGTGTATGGGGCTCCAGAGGTACTCATTAAAGTGCAGACTGCTGGGCCTCACCCCAAAAGACTGATGCAGTAGACCCGGGGTAAGGGCCCTGCAGCAGAGTGTAGAGCAAGTGCCTCAGTGGGAAACGCTGCAGCAGGCTTCAGTCCCTTTAGCTATAAAATGTATGGGGTAATCCATTTCATCAGCACAGTAAGGATGCAGAGCTGTGGTTCTCAACCTTGGCTACACATGGGAATCACCTGGGGATATGTAAAAACGAATGATGGCTGGCTGGGGCCTGGCAACAGAATTTTTAAAAGTTTGCAGGCGGTCTAATGGGCAGCCAGGACTGGAACCATTGTTCTGGAACAGTGGTTCTCAAAGTGTGGTTCTTAGACCAGCGGCATCAGCATCCCTTGGGAATTTACTTCAAATTCTCAGGCCCCAAAACTACTGGACCAGAAACTCTGGGCCTGGGGACCAGGAACCTGTGTTTAGCAAACCCTGCAATTCAGTCAGATGCATGTTCAGATTTGAGGGCCACTGTCCTGGAACAACCGGCAACACTACACGCAGCACAACTGTGACCAACATTGATGCCAATTCAGTTGGCCTCTCGGATGAGCAGCAAAGAGCATAAAACCTTTGAGAATAACCATTGCTTATACAAATGTAACTTTCTGCTGCCTTTTTAATATTAAAATCCTTGACTTTGTTTTGTTATGGAAATTATTTCCTCCCATATATATTTCTGACCTCTCTGTTTACTTTGCCACAGAAAGACCGTTCTAGTTTCCTACCGGGAGCAAGCAAGATTAAGATAGCTGCAGCTGACTGCGTTTCGGGGACCATAAAGGAAGAAGAAGGTCTTTGAGGAGAAAGTCTCACTTTTTAACATGTCTCTAAGCCTGTCCATACAGTGCTTAAGGATTAAAAGTGAGCTCCCTACCATCAAGAAAAGAAATTTGACCCCTTCCTATTTTTGTGACGTCAAGATGGACACGCGTCATCAAGACTACTTCAGAACTTTGTTACACTCAAGATGAAAAAGAAATGCGAGCCGAAGTTTTACTGCTTGTTTTTTAATGACTCATGAATGACAAGTGGCAAATCCAAATCCACTGGAATGAAAATGGAAGCTTATCTACTATTTAGCCAACTTAAGAATAGTTGAAGCTCACTCTTTCCTCCGTTCCCCTAAAATAGATGTTTACCTGGCTCCATGAAGTCTTTTATATGTTCTGATACTAAACAAATGAAGGGCTCAGAATAAACCACTATCAATGCATTTGGGGTCAAGTTCTGAAGACGTGACTCATCAGCTGAGGAAACTGCGGCTCTGTGTAAGAAATGGAATCACTGAAAAAGAAACCTGGACTTCACGGATGAGTCCACAGCACCAGAGCAAGGAGGGGAGGAAATTGTGATGTTTCCTTCGAAGTTCTGAGCCTACCAGTATGGATGTACTCAAAGTAACAGGCTGCCCTGTTCTGCTTCTCCACTCTTGTAATGGTTTCTGTCCTTAGAATACTAAATTCAGTTCGGTAGTCATCACACTATTTTGAATATTTTTATTTTGGAAAGCAATGGGTATCAGTATCAGATACCTCGTAAGTCTCTTAGCTTTATAAATATGTGTACTTTTTCCACTAGATTTTTTTTCTTATCTAGTTTCAGTTTATCATGACAATTAATGTACTTACATACAGAATTAAGACCACAGTAAGAGAGGACAGAAGAATCTATATAATGTAGATAGATGAAGTGTAACGTTCGAATGTTCTTTTCTAACTGGGTTGCGTAACTAATTATGTAATAAGTATGAAATATATTCCAGCGAACATAGAATTTACTGATGGAAATTCTGTGAATGATCTTTTTGAAGTGTAGAATCTATTAAAGCTCCATAGTATTTATAAAGCAATGCCTCTAGCCATGACTTCTAGTACCATAAAGTTTTATATTTATGTTTTAGACTGTAGCAGGAAATGTTGGCAGGGGGAATCATAAACATCCCAAATCACCCATGGTAAGTATATTAATGGGTTAAGGTGCATTTTTAGATGAAAATGGAAGCTTATCTACTATTTAGCCAACTTAAGAATAGTTGAAGTATTTTTCTTTTTAATAGAAAACACCTACTGTGTGTAAGGGACCTAGGAATGCAAAGAAAATTTGCATTGGGGGTGAGAAGACACATATATTAGGTTGAACTATATGCACTTGCTGTTATGTAGGTCAAAAATAGTTGAATGTGGTCCCATGCAGTGCTAAGTTATTGCTGGAGTGTGGGAGTGGCTTCCATGAATGCTCCTGACACCCACTGTGCTAAAGTCCCCAGGTGTGGTGACATGAAGGAGTCACAGAATATGTATGTGTAGCATACAGTTCACTCCCTTAATGTCATCAGAAAAAAAAGCTGTCTGCCTAGTCCCCACATTTTTCAGGTCAAACAAAAGCAGTAAGCCCTAGGTGGTTTTGCTCAGCGGTTAGAGTGCTGGCCGGTGGACTGAAGGGTGTAGGGTTCGATTCCGGCCAAGGGCACATACCTCAGTTGCAGGCTTGATCCCCCGCCCCAGGAGGGGCACATGCTGGAGGCAACCAATTGATGTGTCTCTCACATCCACGTGTGCGTCTCTCTCAAAAAAAGCAGTAATTCATGAAGAAAGAGAGGAGAGATACATTTAAATAGACGTAATGAATAGGCTCTCAGGTTGTTTGATACACCAATGGATGAAGAACAGTAAATTGTTTGAACACCTTGGGAAAAGGTTGAATTTCTTGGCTGTTTTGACATAATTAACCAGCATCAATGAAAATATTATAAACTTAACACACAACCACAAGGAGGACATCCATGACAAACTGGTTAGTAAATGTCATCAATTTGAAGAGTATTTAATATATGCGATTAGTCACTGCACAGGAAAATTGTGAAATGCCCTGAAATCTTATAATTCTTACATGAAAGAAATTTGATAGAGGTTTCTTAAATTTGACAATAATCCTAAAGAGTTACATGACATTTTCAAGAACAAACTGTTAGGCTGAGTCACAGCCCCTGAATGGGTGGGCAGGAGGGTGGCTTGGTTGGGCAAATGCACAGAATTCAAGGGAGGGGTGGGCACTGTGCGGAGGGAAGTCTTCTCGGCTGTACATTTGCGACATGGATGTTGAATATGCAAACTCTAAAAATCATAATAAGGCTAAGAGATTTGGGACACTGTAATATACAACTGATTTCCACGAAATTGGCATGAAAACAAATGTTTTCGGTAAATGAACTCCCACCGCCCACATTTTTAGTTTTGGTTGGACACATGGATGTTGCATTTCGTCTGGGAATCCTAAAAAGTGGGATGTAACTACTCAAACCGTTTTTGAAAAACTAAAAACTCAGGGTCGTATTTTAGAGCTGGAGCACCCGGCCACTAATGTAGCTAATTACTAATGTATCTATTCGGGTTGTGGAGGAGACCTGCCCAGCGGCCACTGGTGGCTGCCTAGCTCTGCATCAAACGGCCCTCGCGTCCGAAGCCTTCGCTTAGCCGAGGGGTGGGGTGGATATTCAGGAAAGCTCGGGAGAACTGCCAACTACTCCCGGGCTCAGATGGGGCAACGCTCCAGGCCGTCTTCCCCTCCTCCGTGCCCGCAGTTTGGTACTTGGCCCGACTCGGGGAGGCGGACCCTGGGTTTCTGACCCAGGGGGG